GAGCGGCCGCGGCGCCGCCGCCGCCCGGCGCCGACCTGGGCCCGCTGCGCAAGGCGAAGACGTCTCGCCGCAACGCCTGGGGCAACCTCTCCTATGCCGACCTCATCACCAAAGCCATCGAGAGCTCCCCGGAGAAGCGGCTCACCCTCTCGCAGATCTACGACTGGATGGTGCGATACGTGCCCTACTTTAAGGATAAAGGCGACAGCAACAGCTCTGCCGGATGGAAGGTACCCGCTTGGCCCCCCTTTCATTCCCTGTGCCCGCCCCGGTGCCACTTGGCACTGTGTCCCTGCTGTCTTCCCCGCCGTCACCCCCTCGCTGCGGTGCTGGGTGAGCTGGGGCCAGCTTGGGGACAGGCGAAAGTGTTGGTCAAGTTTTGGGCAGAGGTGCGTGGGAGGGTGAGTCCCTGAGCCCTGCGTGTCCAGGGCAAGGGACATCGCAGATGCCATCCCGCTGGCACCGGGCGGGTGCCCCTGGCTGCCTCTGGCACGTGGACATCTCCAAGGACTGTCCTGCCCCAGCCGCACGCGCGGGACATCCGAAACCGTCCCGGCCGCCTCGCCTGGGGATCCCCGTGTGCTGAGCAAGGGCTTTCCCCATGCAGGTGGCTCCCGTCTGCTCCCTGTCCCAGCTCTGCAGCCTCTCCGGGAATTATCCCGGGAGCCACGCTGGGAAAGGGGGGGAGAGACCGCCTTGTGTCCAGATGGTGTCAGTAAAAAGGAGACGGTTTCTCTCCTAAGCCCTCCCCTAAGCCCTGTCACCTCTGGGGTGATTAGCGCGGCTAACGAGGCTGGTGGCCTCGACGCAGCCTGATGCTGCCTGCAGCAGCCGACCCCTGCCCTGCCCGCTGGGCACCGGCTCGCCCGGGGCTTGTTCGGCGGCACGTGGGGCTGCCCTGGCCCCCCTTGTGTCCCCAGGCAGGCAGGGGAGCCGGGGGCACCCGTGGCCGGGTGGCAGGGCTGTTGTCGTGGTGCTCGTGCCCTGTCCTGGGGTGCGCAGGGCAGGCACTGCCGTCCCCGGCGTGCCGTGCGGTAACTCCGGAGCGCGGGAAGGTGTCGGGATGTGTAGAGGTCAGACCTTTGCCTCTGGGTGCCTCGGACGTGCGCTGCAGGTGGAGGGACTCGTGCCGTCGGCGGCAGCTGGCGCTGATGGAGTTGCAGTGGGCTCTGGAGCAAGGGGACATCAGGGGACATCAGGAGAGGCTTGTGAGGGCTCCAGGCTGGTGGCCGGGAGCCCCGTGGTGCCCACGGGAGGTGGGATTGACGTGTGAGCAGACACGAAGCCAGCTCCTCTCCGTGGTGGTGAGGCCTGGCCCGGGGTGGCCGCTGGGTTGGGAGCCCAGCTAAACGTGACCTCCCTGTCACATGCGAGTGGCATCCGGCGCCTCGCGGGGCGGAGGAGCGGCTGGCGGGTGTCCTCGGGAGATGAGGGCCAGGCCGTGATGGGGACACTTGGCACAAGGTGGCTTCCTGTCCCGCGCACCCCAGCAGGGGCGGCAGCTTCTGGCCTCTGGGCAACAGGTTTGGGGCCGGCTTTGCCCTCTGGGATGAGTCCCGGCAAGGGGGCACCCTCCAGGGCTCTCCCCCCTGGACCGGCTGTACCCACTCTGGTCCAGTCACCCGGGCATCCCAGATCTGCGCTGGGTGCCACCCGGGACCAGAGCCAACACCCTTCACACCGGAGCCTCCACCAGGGAGCGTGTGGGAGCAATCCCACTCCTCCAGCACCGTCCCTTGCCCCCGAGCCGTTCCGGAGCGTCCCTTCCTCCTGGGGTGGATACCGTGCCTGGCACCTGTCTGTGCAGCCCTGGGACCCCCATGTCCCCTTGGTGCCAAGGGGACCGCAGGTGTCGTGAGCGGGTGACATTAGAGGAGCAAGGGCACAGCACTGAGGATGCATGGGTGAGCTCGGGTGGCGAAACAGGGTGGCACCTCCCTGCAGGGTGACACGGTGACAGTGCCAGCGCGAGGAGGCGGTGACGCCTTTGGGGCCGCGTTGGCGTGGGGAGAGCAGGGACACGGCCCCGCTTTGCTGGTGTGGGGACGGAGGAAAGCCCCCAGCTCCGGACAGCAACAGCCTCCGGCACCCGACAGCGTGCGGAGCTGTGCGGAGGCGACGAAGCCACTTGCACCAAGTGCCCGAGGACAGCTCCGCACGCTGTTGGGTGCCGGAGGTTGTTTCCATGGGCAGCTCGTTCGGATCCCGCCGTGTGAGGGAGGCTGGGCAGGGCCCGGCCTTCCCGCTGGCCATCCCACCCGGGGACGAAGTGTCCGTGCACTCTGGGATGGGGACAACGCAGGGCAGGACGCGCCGTGCCGGGAGCCCCTGCACTTGGCTGGTGGCTCTTGCTGCTGGTGCCAGCTCCATGTCCCTGCCCAGCGGTGTCCCCGCTTTGTCCCCTCCCCGTGTGGCTCTCAGTGCTGCGGAGCCCCTGGCGCGCTGGGCACTCCGTTTTGTCCTAACGAGCCGTTTGCAGCTTACTAAACGGCCCCTGGAGCTCCCGGAGGTCCTACGCCCCTCCTGCCCGCGGCTGCACAGGAGCATTGTGGATCCAAAGTGGGAGCAGAAGGGGGGTCTCTGGGAAAGGGCTCTTCCCTTGACGCGCTCCTTGGAAGCGTCCCTGTTCCAGAGGGGACAGGATCTTGCGTGTCCTGACCTTGCCCTCCCCAGGGGCCAGAGCTGGAGCTCCCGGCAGCCCCTGATCCCGATTGCGCACGAACCCCTGGGTTCCTGCGCCCGTGCCTGGCCGAGGCGCTGCCGGGTGACCCATCATCCCTCGGGGAATTAGGTCCACGCGAGGCCGGGGATTTGTGTGTCGGGGAAGGGGAAGCGCCGGCTCTGGGCGCCGTGACGCGCGTCGGGAGCCGCCGTTCCTGGCGCGGGGCAGCGGGCGCCCGTGACTGACAGTTCTGCTTAATTAGGGAGTTGTTATTTTATCAGTTCCTCGGCGCTGGAAGTTTTCTGCTCTGGCTCATGCTTCCTGCTTGTTAATGGGAAACCAACACCCTCCGTCAAGGCGGCAGCCGTGCTGATGCGTTTTTAAAGGTTCTGCTCGCGCCGCTTTGACATCCAAAATACAACAATCAAGCGATCAGCTGCGGGCGCCTCTGATGGGGCTCTGACAGGGCTGCAAACCTCAATTTCCCAGCCCTGCCCTCCACCTCCTCCTCCTTCCGACGGCTGCGCGGCGGGAGCGGCTGTTCCCGCAGCTCCGCGGCTGGTGCATCGGGGACATGAGGACATGGGATGTCCCCGTCCTGCCTGGACATCCCCGTCCTGCTCTCCAGCAAAGGCAGGGAATGCTGCAGTGCCAGCCTGGAGCACGGCCATGCAAACTGCAGGAGGATCCTTTGGGAGAGCTTGGCCTCAGGCTCCAGGGGCTTTTGCCTATATAGGGATATAGGGATGTTGCCCTGTGGGGCTAAATGGCCTTGGAGCCTGCAGGGACGTGGGGGTGACTTTCCCCCAGGAGGGCAGCCAGGGGCTGGGGACACGATGGGGAGGACGGGGAGCAGATGCTGCGGCCAAGGGCAGAGCTCCCTGTGGCCCTGGGGCTGGGAGCCTGCTGGAGGGAGCCCCGTGGAGCATCCCGGCCTCGCCATATATGGAGATTTCCAGCGGCAGATGGAGAGCCCAGCGTTCCCAGAGAGCCCGGTGCTCCCCTTGGGAATGGGAGCGGGCGAGAGGCGCCAGGGCTGCTTGTCCCGGGTCGCTGCGAGAGGAACCCCGTCCACTTCATCCCACCAAGGGCTCTGCAGAACCTGCAGGTGTGCCAGGTCACCGGGGACCCCATCCTCTTCCTACGGGATGTGGCCTCTCCATGCAGCCCATTCCCACTGGATCCATCATGTCGTGGCCCGTGGCAGCTGATTGTTGCCCGTCTGGGCATCCCATCCCAGGGCTTTTCCTGGCTCCGTGTGGATCCCCCCTCGCGGGGATCCCTTGGGCTGCTCTCCTCCTCCCTGCCTCATCCTGCTCTCTCCTTTTGGAGATTTTTCATCTTCATTTTCTTCTTCCATTTTTTTTTTATTTTTTTTTCATTCTTTCCCCCTCTCTGTCTCTTCTAGAATTGCTTTTCATGCAGCGCTAACTGCTGAAGTAACACAAACCTGCTAAATGGTCCGGCTTTATGATAGCATAAAAATGATACTACAGCAGTGAGTGGGGCTTTATTAAACCCCAGGGAAAGGCTCCAAATGAGCAGCTTGCTCTGCTCTTATCCCCCCCACCCTTTATTTTTAATAACTGCTGGAATATAAACTACACTTAAGACGCCGTGGACTGGAAGAGCCGCCAGTCGCCATCCCTGCGTGTCCTCCTGCCCTCCCTCTCGCTCCCTGCTGCCCATGCTGTGATGCCAGTGCCAGATTACCGGGCTGGGATACGAATTTCCTTTGGATTTGTATGGCAAAACCCTTGTAAATACTCGGCAGGGATGCCAGAGCGCTGGCAGAGCGGGATGTGCTTGGAGTCCCGGGAGCTTCTGGGCGCGGATCCTTTGGTGATGGGATCCTCGCTGTGATGCTCCCAAGCGGGGGTGCTCGGGGACCCTGGCAGCATGCAGGATTTTAGTCCTGCATCCCAATTTTTCCATCGTGAAGGCAGCAAGTGGAAAGGGTGGAATCTCCCCTCGTTCCAGCAGCAGGGATGGAGCCGGATCCTTGTGCCGCATCCCTGGCTCTGATGCTGAGGGAGGGAGGCTCCCTTGGGTTCCCGCTCGGATGCAGCCCCCGGGGGTGCTGGTGCTTGGCCCTCCGCGGGGGGACGGTTTGGGGGCAGGATTTGCTCCCCTGGCCCCAATCGCTTTTCATTAGCCGGCCGCTTCCCGGCCGCTCGGCCCTGCCGCGGAAGGTGCCTGGCTGGTGCGGAGGTGAAAGGCACTTTGGGTTACGGCAGGACACGGGCGCTGGGCTCGCCTGTCTGCTGCCGGAGCCCCTTTTGGACAGCATCTGTTCATTATTGTGTGCCGCCTTGGCGGCGCGCCAGCCGGGAGGCCGGCAGCGCCGCACAAAGATTCCTTTCACCCGCCGCACAAGGAGCAGCAGCAGGAGGAGGAGGAGGCAGCCCGTGCCAGGAGGGGGCACAGCCGGAGAAGCAGCGCCCGCTGCATCCCAGGCACCCCCAGCCCCCCGTGCTCCGTCCTGGCCACGGGGCATCCTGTCCCACCAGGATAGGGAGGCCGCGAGCAGATGGACGGTTGCACGGGAACGGGATGCTCCGTGCAAGC